TACAAACCTTTCTTTGCCACCTATATTTAAATGTTGATAAAAATACATAAAAAGACAAAATCTTCCCTGAAAATTGATTTGTATATATAGTTTGTCAAAAGAATATTTTTTCATGGAATACTTTTAGAATTTCTTTTTCATTTTCACTTTGGAAAAGAAGTTGCCTCTGTAAATCTAATGGTTTTAAATGGTACTAGAATATTCCAAACAAGAAACACGCTCCTTCTCTGGCTGAGTCAGAGCCACCCTTCCTTAATGAGGACTCTGGCACTGACTGTGAACCACTGAAGCCTTCCTATCGGGATGCATTCTGCAATATTGGTGATAGGGTGAAGTCTGAGACATCAAGCATGGCAGTAACTCCTCATGGGTGAATGTCAGAAAGTCAAGGAGGAGTGGTCACGAAAAGAAGAAACCACTTTTCTTTTCCTTTCAGGGATAGGGCTGCATTTCCTAATAATTCTTACAACAGTCAGACTTCTGGGACTATCTGGAGTACCTAAAACCAGAAGAAAACAAGTGGAAACACGAGAAAACACCTCACAAAGTCCATCCATTTGGAATTTATCCTAAATCACCATACACACACATACACACAGTTTCTTGGTCAGTTTGGGCTGCTATAACAGTGTACCATAGACTGGGTGGCTTCCATAACAAACATTTATTTCTCACGCTTTTGGAAGCTGGCAAGACCAAGGTCAATCGAGGCACCAGCAGACTGGTACCTGGTGAAAGAAAGTTCTTGCCCTGTGTCCTCACAGGGACGACCTTCTCTGGAACCTCTTTCGTAAGGGCACTTGTTCCATTTGTGAGGGCTCCACTCTCATGATCTAGTCACCTCCCCAAAGCTCCATATGCTAATGCATCACATTGGGGGTTAGGGTTTTAACATATGAATTTGGGGGGGACACAAACATTCATTTTGCTGTACATATTCACATGCACACACGCACAAACAAAATGTCCCTAAACTGGAATTACCAAGGAAATAACTTGATTAAAGAAGTATTTCTTGGATTAAGTAAACCGTGATATGATATAGTAAGAGAATGTATGTGTGTAACAGAAATTACATATTTCGATGCCAATATAGTCCTGATTCCTACAAATAAAAGCTTAAGAAATACAACACAGAACTGGCATTTTTCAATTTACTATATAATCACACATAAAATGGCATCAAGTTCAGGATTTTATTAATGAAAAACATTCAGTGACAGTGACATTTCATTACTAAACACACATTCCCAAAGGTGCAAACAATACATGTGGGACAGAGATGCATCATCCCCTTCGTGGAGGTTTAAGATAGGTTAGCATGTTTCCGCAGATTTGGACCATTATTAGACTTAGAAATTATAGTCCACCCCTCCAGTCGTGGGTCTTTCAGAATTCAGGCTTCAGTTCCTCAGTTGACACAAATGTTAATTAATCTGAGCGTTACACACTAGGGGATCTTTTCTTCTGAGAGCTTTGCCTCCCTGTACAGTAGCTGGGCTCTGTCTACGTAGACACATGCTTCATTACCCAGGATGGTGTACTAACACCTGGATGGTGTACTAACTGGGCCTCATTAGTGAAACGGTAGGTATTAAAAATTCCTTCCCTGTAGGAAATACGTTTGGGGGATATTGGAATATTAAAAATAAGTGTTTCCAGAAAAATGCAATCTCCATTAATAATTTTATAGCATCTAAGAAAATAAATGCACAGACTAGAATAATCTTTGGCTTTGAGGAAAGAATACCAATATTTTAGTAGCTCCATTAAGTATTCAGAAGAGCACTTTCGGATCTCCTTGTTATTTTTCTATAACCTCTTCTGTGCTATATTTCTCTTAATTAACAAAGAAATCAGTGTCTCTAAAGATTTTTCCTTATTTCCACTTTTAATGAGTTGTCATTTGTACCTCTTTTAAGGCTAGGCACTTTGATTCTTTATGACTTAGATAATTTTTGAATACCAAAGAGCCCACAGTTTCTCTTTTTTTATTATAGATTCATTATAAAATTAAGCCATATGGAAATTTTACATATTTGTTGTATATTAATTGTATAAGATGTATATTTATACTACGTGTTAAATTATAATCATGTGTTATATATTTATATAATATGCATATTATATTTTATACTTAGATAATGTTTTAATAGATAATTCTTATAGAACTAATTAGAACCTTAAGAAAGACATTTATTAATGTTTTAATAGATAATTCTTATAGAACTAATTAGAACCTTAAGAAAGACATTTATTAGCATTTTAACATGACTTTCCCCCTATGAGTGTCAATAAAATTAATACTACAAGAATATTTAAACCACTGGCAAATCACTTCTGAGCACTCAAAGTTGATAGCAAACATTTTATTTTGGAACTAGAAGGCCCTGTTGTTAGTTCCTGAGCCTCTAATTTCAATGTTACTTAAGACATTACTGGAATACACAGACACTCTTTTCTTAAGAACTTCCAGAGAAAGTTGTAGTATTTCTGCAGAAGTGCATTGGAGACTCTCACAACTAAAGACCGTGCATTCCTGGCAACAGAAGCAAATGGACACTGATAAAAGGATAAATGGTTGGTAAGACTAACAACTGTACTTGAGCTGTGAGGATATATAACTGCAAAATCAGCTACACACGCAAAAAAAATTGTCATTATGAGACTCTTTGACTGACTTAGTGTTTTAGTAAATATTTATGAATAATTTGAGTGAATAAATGAATGCAAAAAATGCATATGATGTGCTAGGCACTGCACACCACACATCCTGGGTTTATGGCAAACAAGGAAATCATGGTTCTTACCTCATGAGACTTACGGTCTAGCAGAGGAGAAAAACATAAAACATAGGATCACATAAATAAACATCTAATTGAATTTTAATGAAAATATTGCTGATGAGTTGGTCTCATTATCATTCCAGTCTTTTCCCTCCCTCTCTGTGTCCCCAAATGAAGACTAAAACAACCAAGAAATAATTTTTCATGTGTAAAAGGTAGAAATAATTTCTTCTCTGGAAACCTACCTCCTGTGATATGAGCCCATTTCCTTCTTCCTTAGGTAGTAACAAAAAGTGGTTGCATTGTACCGACTCCACCTTTCACATTCAGTTAGGTCCCGTGGCTTATTGATTTTATCATGCAAATGTATCTTATATTCATCTGCTCTTCTCCATTTCCATATCCAAAAGCATGGCACTAGTTCTCTGGTCCTCTTGACCACATTGTGTGAATAGACTCCCAGAATCACAAACAGTATAGGAGAATATGAAAGTGGGGAGAGGCTCTGGAGATCATTCTTCAAATGAGGAAACTGAGGCTCAGAAAGGTCTCACTCAGGACTCCGCAGTTCTGACTAGCCACAGACATGCCACCAGTTTTTCTTTAGAGCAGCCATGGAAGTCACTGACATTTTCCTGCTCACAGTCATACCCATCCCCTTTTTCCTTGTTAGAAAGTCCCCCTTCCCATAATAGGAGCCAAAAATGACAAATACTTGGTTTCCTCAGCATGGCCAGATTATGGTCACTGAGATGTAAAGGGAAGTCTGCTGCCTGGTGTCTCAGAAATAGTTTGCTTTTGACAAAAAGAGTAGTCCAGGAGAGCCACTCCTCACCCCCAGCCACTTTCTTCCTGTCTTTGGGGCTGAAGAACAGCAGGCTGAGGATAGAAAGCCATCATCCAGGATGAAGAATCAGAAGAAAGGAAAGCCCTTGAGACCCTCTTCTATCAGCTAATCTTGGGACCAGCTTCTTGTAGACCTCTCATTATGAGAGAGTGTTTGAAATCTTCCCTGTTTATAACTTTATGTCACATATTCTGCTATTTGCCTAGTGCACGTTGAATGGACTACTGCCTTGCTTATTTCTTTACCTTCCACTAACCCCACGAAGCTCCACAACAGCAACCGATGGGTCTATGTTTTTCATTTCCCATACTCCCAATTCCTAGAATAGATTTTGGCACACGGTCAGCCCTTGAAAAATATTTGTTGAATAAATGCCCTCAAATTGTGATTGGCTCTCTACTTCTATGAAATCAAGTTGAAATTAATCAAAGGATTAATCTGGCATTCAAGGCCTTTCATGATCTGGCCCCAATTTATCTTTCCAGCCTTGTCCTCCTCCACACATGCCACAGCTTAGGAAACCGGGACTATTCCTGTCCTCCCAAACACTCCCTGTGTTCTACTGGCTTACAGTGTCCCTCCCACAGAATATACTCCTGTTCCTACAGCTCAAGACATTCTCTCATTCGTCAAGCTCCAGCTGTTCTCCCATAGAACTTTCTCTCATACTTCCCTAGTACAAATATTTTTTCTATATTCTCTTCTCTTTTGTGCCATTTATCACTTTTAAACATTTATGATGACTGAATACTCATCTCTATTAGATGACAAACTCTCCTTGAGGATAGGAAAGTCACCCTCCCAAGAAATAAATACAATGCTTTGGCCCAGTGAGTACCTAGTAAATTTTTCTTTGTAAGTAATGAAATAAATAACATTAAAGTGAGCCCATTTTAAAAATAATTTGGACCCAGGCACCAGTACTGACTCTCTGTCAAAAAAAAAAAAAAAAAAGCCAAGGTCTGAATGAGTTGCAGGAGGGGAAAGCAAGAAGGGAGAGGAGCTTGTTGGAAGTGTCAGGAGCAAATACAAGAGCTCTTTCTCTTTCTCATGATGTGCAAAGTCCTTAATGGAAGATGATCCCAATCAACAGAGCCAGGCAGCTCATTTATATAATGGGATCAAGCTGAAATAGTGGTCTTCCTCTGAGAAGTCATGGGAAAGGCTGCTACACAAGAATAACCAGGACTCCACAAGTCTATCTGCTGGTGTTCATAAACACGTTCCCCATCAACAAACCACAGGAGAGCTCTAGAGAGCAGCCTGCTTGAGCCTGGATGCTGAGGAGCGACAGTGGGGCTAGCGCTGCTGCTGCTGCTGCTGCTGCTGCTGCTGCTGCTGCTGCTGCTGCTGCTGGCCACTGAGCAGATACCGCAGCGAGGGGTCTGAAGGTGCCGAGTGCTCTGGGAGCTTGGGTCTGGGTAGGAACTCGATGTTAAGAGAGTGAGAGCTGGGAGGTGGGCAGGACTCACCAAGGAGCTGCAAACCAAAACAAGAAATCTAGGCAGCAAAAGGAAAGAAAGGGTGAGCTTGAGCCAAGATATCGAGCCAAGTGGAACTGGAGGAAATGTCATCATTGGTAAAGGAGGACTTGGAGAAGAAACTGTTTAAGCCGCTCTCGCAGAATCTGTATGAGTTTATCGAAATAGAGTTCTCGGTCCAGGACAGATATTACCTCTGTGTGTCAGGTAATATGTTCTTTCTCTTATCATTTCTAAAGGCAAATAACCCCAGTGGCTTGGGTGGTAGAGGGACATGCTTTGCATTTATTTTCCTATACGATAATAGCATGTGTATCTTCTCATGATAGAACTTTAACTACGCCAAGTTTCAGAATTTGGGTTCTACAGAATTCTTAAGTGCTAAAATGGAAGACAGAAAGGACTATTGTGTTATTTTGGCTAATTGTTCAGAAACAAAACTGGGTATGTACTTTCCCTTATTTGATTATTTTGTCTCTGATCTTTGATGTAATTCATTTGCATAACTTGCAGGTTTACTGTGAAAGAGCTCATTTGTGAAAATTCAGCAGAGAATTCTGTACATTTTTAAATACATTGGAAAATTGAGTTGTATAACTCCATTTCCAACTAGTCTGGACAACTAGGGTTCTCCTTTTGCATGCTAGGAAAGAAAAGATATCTCAGATTTTCTTCTGAGGGCTTACTTTGAATAGAGAATGATCTTTTAAAAACTCTTTTACAGGAAGTATGTTAACAGGAGTAATACTTCAGTAGGAGAATTTAGTTGATGAAGATGGAACTTTAATAGAATTTTCTCTAAACTACTTAACAAAAATTGGTTTTTCCCTCATGGTTTTAAAATGTATGAAAATTGTCCAGAGGTAGAAATAGGCTTTTACATATAATTATGATTTTCCTAACCAGTAATTTTTGTGCTGAATTTACACAGAAATACTTGTACAACTATTGAATTTAATATACAGCTTTCCATTTTTTTCCCACGCATGCCATTTAATGTTGTTGAGGGGCTTAGGAGGAAAGAGCTTAGAAACTCTAAGTGTCCACTGTGGACTTTCCTTTATAAGACACACACCTCATCATTTTTGGAAAACAACTTGTTAAAATCCCCTTCCTGGTAATTGGCTTAGAAGGACTTTCTAAAGATGTCAAAAGGAAGTACTGTAAGGGAAGTAAAACATCTTATAAAAAGTGTTAAGAATTCTTTAAAATTCTATCAACCCTAATAAGTATAATATTTACTCAATAATAAAAACAGTGGTATATATACATCTAGAATTTTACGTACCGTATTTTGCTATGTATAAATACAAAGTGTGGAGACTTGGCACTTCAGCCAGGTAAAAAGTCTAACTGGCCCAGGAAAAGAATTCAAAGTATGGAAAAATTCAAATGAAAATTTTAGAAACTATGTTGTATCCTAACCATCAAATCTTAAATTATTTTGACTTAGTACATTAGAGAAGATGCTTATTCCAACATTAACATTTAATAATTTTATACCTATTGAGATCCTACTTTATAAAGCTAATTACACATTATGTAACATTAGAATACAAGTATTTTTAAGAAAAACTTATAAGAAATGGAATAACCAGGATAATGTATATATCTAATTTACCAAATATATCTTAATGCCTCCCTCCAACTATATAATAACTAAACTTGTTCTAATAAAAAAATCTCCTAGAATTAAAAGTTTGGATATGGATGTGATTTTTTTTCTCCCCAGCATCCATGAGTTCTGAGAAAGACACTGTGAGCTGGTATCACCTGCTGTCTTTTTTCATAAATGACAGGTGTCTTTTTCAATAGGATTGGAGAGTCCAGGGGTTGGTTAGCATTGTTAACATGTATGAGGGCAACTCCAAAAAGGTTCAATGTTATCTTCTGGGAAATGACTAAGTAAAGCAAGTGATCACTGTCATTAGTAAAATTTAATGGTTCTGTCACATGAGAAGCAAGGGAAAACAAGGCTTTCTCAGATGTGAGGAAGAGAAGACAATATTGTGATATTCCTAATAAAAGTTAGGATTGTAAGTAATATTAGTTCACTAAGTTTCACAACTCTTCTCTATATCACATCCATCAATTTGAAAGCACTTTTCCCCAAATGTGATATCAACATCTCTTTATGATTATCTCAAATACATTTAGACAGAACAGTAACTTAAGATAAAATCAATGTGAAGCTCAACAGTCCTAAGCCTTTGACCATGCTTTACGGAGAAACTTTCCATTGATGGGAATGGAACAGGTCGTGTCACAATAGTTGAGGCGGGTAACTCCAGATTTGAATGTTGGCCACCTCCGGGGACTAGAGAGACACATAGTTACCATTTTCTTTTATATCCTACAACCTAGCAGTCCCCAATTTTTAAGAATCATATGTCTAGAGTAGTCAAATCCCATCGTGAATTTTTCAAATTAAAGAAGATGTTTAAATAAGTTAAACTTTCTATTTATCTGAACAGAGTCTGTTGCTTGCAGGAGTCTCATAACCAGATGATTGTGATTTGCTGTTATTTTGACACATTACCTGGTCGGGGTCAAAAATCAGATGTTATAGACTCAGTCACCCTCTCTGTAGTTTGCTAGGACTTGCCATGTGGGTTTCTTGGCATCTTAGTACCCTCCCCCCCCTCGGGGTTCACATGGTCATTTCTCCTCGGGGTCAGCTTCCCCTCAGCTAGAACATCATTACACCTGGCTGTTGAAAGCAGCAGCTTCTTATGAAGGAGGGAGGAGCTCTGTTATGTGTGGGCACTTGAAAAGGGATAAGTCGTTTGTGCAAAGACGAGAGCGTAATTGAATTAAAGAAATTCTAAAGGACTTGAAATGGCACATAAAACATTAGCCATAATTAAATGGAATGTAGCAGGACATGGTGGAGTGAATGTTGGAAGGTTTGGAATCAGAAAGAACAGGTGTGAAACCTGACTCTGCTTTGCCTCCCTACCAGCTGTGAAATTTGGGGTAAAATAATTAACCTCTATGGCCTCAGCACTGACATCTCTGAAATGGCAATAGTCACACCTGCATCACACATAGTGCTCACCTGTTAAGTCTTAAGTCACAAATGTGAGAAATTATATTCCAATAAAATAAAAGGTAGGGTTATTGTTTTAATATATAGGACAATGTACTTACTGTGAAAACATATGCTGAAATATATTTGTATAAATAGTACATTTTGTAGATGAATATTTGTAATAAAAGTCAAATATACAGTATATGTATAAAAGTACATATATTTAATATATAATAAAGAAATATATTAAATTACATATTTTTTAAATACTAATTATTATATACATGTTCAGAGAGATTATTTTAAGTATTTTCATGTATTTAGAAAGACATTTTCCATTCATAGAATTAAATTGAAAGTAAATGGCATCTGTTAGAATTATGAAAGCACTATATCTAAATTTTCCATATGTGTTGCATTTTGATGCCAGAACAAAACTACTTCTCTGTGAACCAGAGAATCTAACAATTTTGTCAAATCATTTACAATAAAAATGTTAACAATAAGACTATTTTAAAAAGAAGTTAATATGTTAATAAGAAACAAAATGCTAGAGACTGGGTAGCTTATAAACAACATTTATTCCTTACAGTTCTGAAGGCTGGGAAGTCCAAGGTCATGGCATTGGCAGATTCTGTGTCTGGTGAGGCCTTATGTCCTCATCCACAGTAGTCTTATCCTTATGACCTTGCATGGCAGAGGGTCAAGGGGTCTCTCTGAGGTCTTCTTATAAGTGCATGAACGCCATTCATGAAGGCCCTCCCTCCCAAAAGCCCCACCTCATAATACGGTACCTTGGGGTTAGGATTTCAACATACGAATTTGGCTGGGGGACACAAACATCCAATCTATGGTACCCAGTATAGCCCCAGAATTGGTTTTATAAAAATATTTCTCCTGGCTGGCGTAGCTCAGTGGATTGAGTACGGGCCTGCGAACCAGAGTATCTGCGAACGCAGAGAAATATATTGATATTTCTCTCCTACTCTTTCTTCTTCCCTTTCCCTCTCTCAAAAAATAAATAAATAAAATATTTTTTAAAAATATATATTTTTAGCCCTGGCCAGTTTGCTCAGTTGGTTGGAGTGTCCTCCCATGAACCAAAAGTTGTGGGTTTGATTCCGGTGGGGAAAGTACCTGGGCTGCAGTTCAATCCCGGTCCCCCCAGGAGCAGATGGATCTCTCTCTCTCTCTCAACCTCTTTCTCTCCCTAATAAACATAACCTTGAGTGAGGATTAAAAAACATTTCTAGAGAAACTATGATATAAAAATCATTTTTTGATGAAATCAATAATAGCATTCTCAATGACCTCAAACATCATCAATGCACTGAAACTTCTTCACGGAAGCTTCTTGTCATTGTTAACCCACAGCATTTTTCCTTATTGTTTAATTTCAATGATGAACAATACTAGGGCTGTAAACTAACAGTCATTTATTTATTGGAAGCGTTGCTGTGCAGCTTCCTCCGGAGCCACTGCTTCCTCTATTCTGCCAAATCACATTTGTTCAGTTGGCTGGCCTTCTTTCCATTTAGCCTCATAAATAACAGTGACTATTTTACCATTGTAGTAGAGACAGTTATTAATGACAGTGTTAATTCTGAAATCAAGAGTAAAAATAAATGGTGGACATGACTTAAGATTGTAATTTTGAAAGTGCTAACTAAAATATTGAAACTGGAGCAGGTTCATTTTGAATTTCCCTGAGCCTATAGATATTATTCACTAAACAATAATTATTCAGTGTCATCTGTGATGTTACTGAAACCAACTAACAGTTCGACTGTATAAACACATTTCTGTTTTAAGACGATGCGATAAGTTTCCACTTTCCCACTCCATTAATGTGGATATGGCCATTTAATTTTGGCTGGCAGCACAGCTGAAGTGTAGGAATTAGGGACTGGGGCCAGTCCAGCCTGAGCAGACTTCTCTGACTCTTGGCTAACGATGATCTCCGAGCCTCGTCGGCTCCAGAGGAGGCTATTTCGCCAAATGAAGGAGGCCAGACTGCCTCTGCGCTGCATCACTGTACCAAAAGATTAACACGTGCAGCATGCTCCAGCTTTCTTAGTTAATGTTAGTGGACGAGGACCATTAATGTAAGAAAACTTGATAACTGAGAGATCCTTCTTTCTTAACATCTCTTTCTCCATTCCCTCCCTCCAACCCATCCTTTACAAAATGGCCGAAACCACCCCCCAAAAAACAAACAAACAAACAAACAAACAAACAAAAGACCTGTCTAAAATGTAAAGCTTCTCCTATCCATTCACTTAAAGTGCTTCAGTGACAGCCCTCCTCCCAAACACTCCCACACACCCAGCTCTCAGGATGACATTGAAAGTCCTTCACCCAGCATTCCAGACCGCCTTGCCCCTTCCCTCCTCCTCCTTTGTACCACCTGGTCGCCCTCACGCTTCAAGCCAACAATACCAAACACTGTGTGACTCAAAAGTGTCAAGTATTTCATGCTTCTGTACACACGCTGTTCCAGAATTTTCACCCCTTTCTTCATTCTAACTCCCACCGCCTTTTACAACTCAGAAGACCCCCTTCAAGAAGCTGTCCCCAACCCCCATGATGTCCTTTCTCCATGTTCCTAATCACCCTGCCCTTGCCATATTCACAGTACTGTGATCGTGGTGAGGGGGTGGCGTTTAAACATAATTTTTCTTTTTGTTTTGAAATAATTCCAAACTTACTAAATAATTGCAACAATAATAGCACAAATAACTTTTTCCCACCAAATAAATAACTTTTTGGTGGAAACAGTTGAGAGTAAACTGCCAACATGATGCCCCAGTGCCAACACTGAACCTTAAGTTATAATTGCAACAGGCATTGACACTCTCCTATATAATCACAACACAACCATCAGAATGAGGAAGTTAACACTGATTCAGTACTATCAACCAATCCACTAGCCCTATTCAAGTTTTTTTAAAGTTTATATTAATTTCAGGTGTACTCCATAGGCCTATACATTTATATAATTTCTAAAGTGATGAGATCATGTGTTTTCTTCATGGAGCCCCCACTCTGTAATCTTGGTGAGAGCAGGAATGAATGGTGCCTTGTGGGAATTCTTCACTCCAATGCTTAGCACAGGCATTTATTCAAAAGGGCTCTCAAACATTTATCAAATAAATGAATCAGTGGGTCTATAATCAATCAGCTGGTTATCATAATATATAGACGAGGCAGTGGAATTTGCTTCAAATTCCGTTTCCATGCAATATTCTATTCCCTCTCCCATTCCCCTCCTCTCCCACCCCCTAACTAGTGAGGCAGCTAGGCAGAACCAGAACATCAGCCTTTGGGGCAGAGGTAGAGCCTTTGCCTGGACAGACACAACTGCCTTTTTGGTCCACAAACGAACCTTTTTTAGTGCTGGGGACATGTGCATAGGCAGAAACCCATCAATTTTTGCACACTATTTCAGAACTCTGAGCCATGTTTTTGACCTCTGGTTAAGATCTTCCGTTCTAGGTCCCCTCTGGGACATGGCTCTCGACACTCCCTTGGTCCTTAAATATGCAATCCCTCCTCTTCCAAACTCTTAGAACTTGAAATCTAAATCATAGCCTTTAGTCTCTTCTTATTTCTACACTGAATCCTACCCAACCCAGGAACTGGCGGACAGTATGCACCCAGTGTTTGTGCGTAAAGGAATCCTCTGCAAGCTGCCTTCTGCCTTTACCATTCTAGAGAAACTGCCCACAGGGAAGAAATCAGTGATCTCCCCAAAGTCAGATTCAGGGCCTGGATTGCACTCTTGCTTCACCCAGCAAAGTGGCTTCACAGGATTGTCTTCAGATCTTCAAAATTCTCGTCCTCCTGATATTCATAGCATTGCACTGTTTCTTTTCTGACAGCCTCTTCTCAGACTGCTTTGCTGGCAAGTTTTTCTTCTCTATTCTGTCTCACCTTTTTCTTCTGCTCTTTTGCCTGCTCCCCTAGTCTTGCAAACCTGTCCACACAGAAAAATACCAGGTCCATATCTCCATTCTTACACTATCAAGTTCCATCTCTTTCCCTTCTGAGATGGGTTGTTATTCCCTTCACCCAGCTTGCCCTCCTGACTTTCCTATTTTGGTTTCCGTCTAGTGTTATTTCTACCCAGTGTCATCAAGAAGTGGCTTCAGAGATTTGCCACTTCTATTTCCACAGCCCACGTCCTATGCTTAGATTACAACACTAGTCCCTTACACAAAATGAAACACTTTAACAATTCCTATAAACCAGGGACTACCCTCCACATCACTTCCCTATCCCTGTGTTTATGCTGTAACAGAATGCTTTATACAGTCTTAACTAGGAAGGCATGCCAGAGTAGCATTTTCCAGAACCAAATGGGTCTTCCCTAAAGACAGATTCCAATTTCATTCTTAGAAGACAGAACCAGCTTACATCTAAGTGACAGCATCCATCTTGAAAGAAAGTTTAAGATACCTGATTCCAGCTGCCAGCTCTCCACACCTATACATCTTTATATTTTTTATGAAACTTATGTCTGTTAGTTTTGTCTCCTCAACAAAACCATATATTTCTAGAGGATAAGGACCATGTCTAGTACTTGTACCCATTGTGGCATCCATAATAATTCTACGGGGCACATAGCAGATAATAAATACTCCTTTATCAAATCATCAATAATTTTCAATTCAGGAGTTCTAACATTAAATGTAGATTCTTCTGATGTTTTCATGTGAGGCCAAAGACAATGATTTTAATGTTAGGAAATAATTTCCTAATTTTGTTCACATAAAATAAGCAGTGATTTTCCCATACTTTTTAAAGAACAGTGCTAAAATTTTTTGTCTTGATGACACATTTTGAACACTAGAATTCTGGAGACAATCTGGAGAAGACTGAAAATCTCAAACAATACCAATCGGGTGCATCTGGGATGCAAGCTTTTCTACATCAAAAATCTCATGGTAACTTGAAAAGAAAGCCTGTTGGTGCTCACTCTGTAACACTGTGTTGCTGTGTGAGTAGAACTGTTCACTTCCCTGACCTCACTTACTTACATTGTCATAAATTAAAATTCCAAATTGTTCTGGTAAACATTTTGGCACTGACTATATGCTAACGCTAAGCCTCTTATTTTCTGCCCTGAGTTGATCCCCATTCCCCACCACAAAGCATAGCTAAAAGCACATGGCTCAGTGTTCTATCTGACAGACATTACTGTGGCTGAATGTAACCACAACTGTAGCAAAGGTAAAGACATTGAGCAAATCCAGGGGCATACTTGCGAAGGTTCAGATACATCAGGGTTCATAAAGGGGATGCAGATATAATGTAGGTTCAAACTCATTGCATGAAAAGGGTTACATAAATACTGAAAACTATGGTGCTGAATAATTTATCATCTTCTAGGAGTTTATGTAAACTGTTTTTCTATCCTACAGTGACCAAAAATGAAGAAGTAAAAATAATTATGGTGAAACACTACAGAATAGGCTTAGATGAAAAATATGAAGTAACCAAAAAGTGGTCTTTGAATGATCTGCAGATGATTGATGGAAAAGAAGCAGATACCGTAAGTGTTACACTTTGTAAGGGACACGTGGGGTCAATAGGCTGGCAATCTTTAAGCTCAATATCCTACTTCATACGTTCTTGGCATGCAATTTAAGTGTTAAAATGACACAGTGTTCTTAAGTGGTCGAGTTTAATCTACTGGGATGATGTACAGGTCGTTTTTTGTTGTTGTTCTGTTTTTATCAGTTTAAATTTGAATTTTGTCTATTAAATTTAAAGGAGTCTTTCCCAAGGCTTCTTAACAGGTTGAACACTCTCTCCTGGTCAATCTGGACACTTTAAATACATGGCACTTCCACCGCCACTCTCTCTCTCCACCCCAATTCCTCCATAAGATTTGGGGATTCCTTCCCTCAGTTTCTTCAAATTTTACTATCAGCCCCTTGATCCACCAGAAGGATCAATAATTCTTGGAAATCCTACAGCCTTAAAATGAAAAGATTGCGGGGGGAAAGGATGTCTGCTCCAGTCTCTCCACTTGACCCTGTGCCGGGTGGTTTTCCCAGTCTCCCTGACCTCTTCTGCTGCTGGAGAGCTCATTCCCACATGAGGCTGGAGGCCAGTCCATTCTGTTTTTGAAATGCCATGCTTTACTTTTTATTTTTTTAATTTTATTAAGTTTGTTGAGGTGACATTGGTTAATAAGGTGATATAGGTTTCAGCCATACTTCATTATTTTTTAAGTTTTCTACTTATGTTTAACCAAAATATCCACCCATCAGTCCTACTTTGGCCATTTGTAGCAAATTCAGAACAACTTCAATCCTTCTTTCATAGAGCAGCCTTTGCAATAGTTGAGGGTGATTGTACTGTCTCCTCAAGTTTCCTCTTTTCTAGGTTAAATGTTCCCATTTTGTTCTTTAAATAACTTTTATATGCTGATCACATAAGCTGATAGCTATGTCAGGATAATAAACACCAAGAGGCAGTAGCGTTGGTGCTGCTGTTTTTCATGACATTGCTTCAACACCCTTTACTACACTATTTTCTCTTCTGTAATCCTCCTGTTTTCTCAGAATTACGTGCAATATTTTAGACTTAGAGTGACTAATTTGTATTTCCCTTGCTCTGGATTCCTTATTTCTATTAAACACTTAACTGAAACCTCAGGTCTTTGTGTATAAATTGCCATTTAATCTCACCTGCCATACACTCTACTTACATATAATAAAACCTAAATAAAAGTCCTTGGTGATCTGGCTTCTTTACCAGTGGTCATCCCCACCTTAAACTTCACTGTGCTTAACTACTGACTCTTGAGGCTTAGAACGCCCAATCACCTCTATCTCTCACCCCATTCTGAGACTCTCCATTGGGTAAAGTCTTACTCATGTCTCCCTTCCCCAAGGCCCCCTTAAATTGTGGATATAAATGAATTACAGTCATAATCCCACACACTGCAAGTGTTGGCTTTTTCTGACTCTTCTTGGGATGGAAAGCTTCTAAAAAAAAACAACCTGGGACCTTGATTATTTCACTGTAGCCTTCAACCTGACATATATTAGACACTCAATAAATATTTGTATTATTGTTGGAAGTAGAATTTAAACTTATTTATTCTTAATCCTACTAAATACTATATTCTCAATCTGGCTTATTCTTCCACCTATCCACTCTTCTAATAGTATGATTTTTAAAATAGTCACTATAATGTGATGCAGATTTAAAAACCATAACATTTAGGACTTCATTCAAGTCAGTAATAAAAATGATGAAGCAGGCAGGGGAGGTGTATACCTCTAGGTAACGGGTAGGATATCATTACTACTACTGTTACTACTAACATTAGTACTGCTACCTGCTACCATGGCACACTCAGTAAGCTTTTATCAGGTGCCAGGAACCACAGGAAGCTTTTCCACACATAATTTCACCTAGTCATCACAAAATCCACATGATTTAAATTCCATTATTATTCCTGACTTATAGATAAGGAAAATGAGACTTAAAGACATTAACTGACTTGCCCAAGGTCACAAAGCTATTAAGTGGTAGAGCTAGACTTTACCCAGAAATCTATTAATTTGCCTTCTTTGGATTGCTTGTTTAACATCTCTGCAAATTCATATATATTCATTCATTCATTCACTGAGAATTCAAGCCTTGCCAGGTCCTGAGGCCACAGTGGAGAATTAGGCACACGTAAGCCTTTAATTCTGCATTATTTACATAATTATTTAGTCTCAACACCCAAGTGTTGTCCCTAAGTTCTTTACTGAAATCAATATATGCTATCTGCTATTTTCTTGACTTATCACCTAAGAATCCTTTTTTAAAATTTGGTGTGTTTGGCATGATACTCAGTAAACACATGCAGGATTTCATTGCTTTCTTTTTTAATGACTCATATAGCATTTTTCTAATAATACATCCTACATAACTGTTAGGAAATAATTAGGAAGTATTTCCTAAAATTTACTGCATATTAATATGCTGAAATATTATACACACACACACCATGTTTCCAAAAGAATACCTCAGAACACAATTGTTCACCATTTAGTAAGTTTTAAAGAAGCCTGACAAATACAAAACTTTTCTATAATATTCTCAGTTTGTATATTTAATCTGTCCTATTATTAAAATTGAAATCTGAACCTTAAATTTTAGTACAAAAAATACACAGAGTTATGTGTAAGTATATGTATATATGAAATAAACCAGTACTTTAAAAATAATTATCTCTGTGTGATAAGATTACACATTTTTAGATTATTATTTTCTTTATACTCTTATGTACTTACCAAATTTTCTTTGCTGCCTTAAATTTTATCAGGAATCAGTGTCAAGTTCACTTCCCTGTAGTTTCAAGAATTACCATCCCCATCTCTTTTTTTTTTGCATTCTTCATTTTTTTGAAGTTCTCAAATAGTAATGCAGTTATAAGTATTTCTTCAAGTTTGTTCAGTGTCTGGAGATGCACTCAGCAAGCCTGTCCGCTCACAGTCATTGCTAACACACAGCCCTGCTCTACTCTCTCCTCGCCGTTCTGGTCTTACCAACCGTGTTGATTCTTCTCTTTCCTCTTGGAAGATCATTATCTTTGATAGTGGACTAGATACCTCAAAAGTTGAATATTTCTATTTTGCTCATTATTTAGGACCTAAAATAATAGATCGCCAGAAGAAAACCTATAATACCCAAAGGGTAGTTTTTTTAAAGATTTCTTTTCTGTGGATGAAGTAAAAATATCCCAGTTGTTCCTTGAATTTCATTTCTACTTTCCCTTTGAATTGAATCTTCAGGAATCAGCAATTACATATATTTATATGTGTGTGTGTGTGTGTGTATATATATGTATACATAATTGAGAATATATTTGTGTGTGTGTGTGTGTGTTCTCAATAGCAGTGATGTAGTTTTAAATAGAGCAATTTCGAGCTGGAAAGCTGTCAACTTTTAAAAGGAATGGAATTGAAATTAAAATCAATTTATAAAGGAGATATCAAAATGTCTGGGGATTTGGAGATTGACATGATACAATGGGAGAGAAAATGATGCAGCAAAAAAATGGGGTTGGGTTGACTGAGATCTTGGTTCTGTCCTGGCTCTGCCAAAAATTTCCTGTGTGGCCTGGACTTCACCTCTCTGGAAACTATTATCCCAACGATAAACAAGAGATCACTGAATGATGTCTGAGATCCCCTTTTAGCTCTAGGAGTCTATCAGGACAGACAGAGGGAGGGGAAAGGGTGAGAGAGAGGAAGGGAGGGATAGAGAGAAGGAAGGAGAAAGGAATTCTGTTTTTAAAATGTGGTGTATTTGGCACCAAGCAGAAAGAAGAAATATTTTTTCCTCTGAAAGTCTGTATGTAGGTTTATTCTCTTCTTTTATCCCTACCCACTCTCTCAAATTCAGGAAGGAAGGAAGGAAGGAAGGAAGGAAGGAAGGAAGGAAGGAAGGAAGGAAGGAAGGAAGGAAGGAAGGAAGGAAGGAAGGAAGGAAGGAAGGAACTTGTATTCTATGTGCATGCCTTCTCAGGCTTCAATTATTAGGCTAAAGGAAACTATCAATCCTTTCCAAGTATCTCAGAAGGATGAAGGATATTTTCTACATGAGGAAGAGCAAATGTTTCAATGAGGGAACTATATATGGAGGGTGATTAACATTTAGTGACAGAATGGGTGTGATTTCCTTTTACTGAGATGCCCTGCAGAAGTGCCTTTCAAGCTGCAATTATGATAGCAAGGGAAAATTTTACAAGGTGTGACTAGGGGAACGCTGCACTTAAAATCACATCACCCTTATATATTTTTTTCTTTTTTAATCCTCACTTGAGAACATGCTTATTGATGAGAGAGAGAGAAACATTGATGTGAGAGAGAATCATTGAGCAGTTGCCTCTTGCATGTGCCCCAACTGGAGACCAAACCTGCAATCCAGGCGCGTGACCTGACCAAGAAGCAAACCTGTGACCTCTCAGTTTATGGGACAATGAGCCACAGCAACCAGAGCCCTTGTACATTCTTTTTAGAAGGGTTGTTTCATTTTTAAATTTTGTTAATAATATAAAGCAAGGTGGCAGTAACACTACCATCACAATTTGTGGAAGCAAATTTGGGAAAGGGAACTATCTTCATTTTTTTAACCTCCATATTACGCAGTTTCTATAATTAATCTCATGATAAACTTCATAGAAACCCTGTCAAAATAAAGAAGAGAAAAGACAGGGTCAGATCACATAAATACTTTGTCCGTGGTTATATCAGAGATTCAAAATGGTTGTTTAACCTCAAAACCCATCTTCTTTTTCTGGCCTGGTACAAGAGTTTTCCTATTTGAAAGATACCTCCATTGTTTGTGCATAATGCTTACACACCACCTGGTAACAAATTATGCACACTCCTACTTGGCCTTTCTGCCTCCGTGTCAGTTACAGGGCCATGTTTACCTCCACTTCTCTTTTTACAGAACTACTTCAGATCAGCTCAACACACACTCATTGGGAACCTAGTAGTTACCATGAACACAAAGTAAATAACTCAAACCCTCTGCCCTCAAGGAGAGTTAGGATTTGGCAGAGAATGAATGTGAAAGCATTTTGTAAACTGAAAAGCACTTTGTAAGTGCAAGGCATTGTTGTTACTGTTATTAGTAACAGTGTCAGAGATTATTTTAACATGCAAGACTTAGATCAGGTTTGATGTTTTTTTTTTCTCAAAACATCTACACCAGGAGTATAACAAAAGCCTAGAGCAGTCCAATAAGAGGCAGTCATGAATAATTTTTCAGTTTCAGTCCAATAATCTAATGGTCCTTGTTATTAACTTCAAAGGTACCTCCTTGCTGTTAACTTGATGTGTATGCAGTATGCCAAAAGCTAATTAGCCATCCTGTACTTCCCCCCCTTCTGCCTTTGAAGTAGCACAGCACCAAGTTCCCAGTAGAAAAAAAGGAGAAATCTATTCTCCCCTCCTTTACCCATCTTCTCCAATTCACTACCCTGGGAAGAGTTGATAATTGCACATTCTGAGACATGGTTTACTTGCATAATTGAAAAATTACAGATCCTATAAAAATAATTTTTATTGTTTTTTTTAGAAGCAATGTGTTTGAAGCAGGTAGCTTTTGAAAGTTCATGTGTAGGTTTTAGAAATATGTTTGGTACTAATACTTTATAATCAAAAAGCACATATAAAGGAATCTGAGAGAATCCAGAAAATCCAGTTACTTTCCTGACTACAAACAAAAGCATGTCTCTCTTTCTCTTCTAGGACAACCCATTTTTTGATCTGCACTTCAAGAAAGTGTACCGTTTGGAAGCATATAGTTGTGCTTCTAAATATGCCTTTGCTCGAACTATAAATAAGCTGAATCATGCATATCTTAAGAAGGACTTACAGATTGTGAACTTTGACTCGACTTACATTAACGATGATTCTGTGTGGTCCTCCAACAACAAGGATTGCTTGGTTCTCATGAGAATATGCTTTTATGCCTTCAATCTGCTGTGCCTGTCCCTGTGTCCCCTGCCACTGTGAAGATGCAGACCCTTTTTTTCATCAGTATCCTATAAAATGGTTCCCTAAGTAAATATTGGTAATCATGATTTTGTTTTTTCTTTCTTCATTAGTGACTGTTATTTATATGAAAATAAAACAATGCTTTGTGAATTGCAGTAAAATGTGTTTTAATAAAATCATTCGACATTTGGAACTTTTGCCTATGTGTTCCTTGGTAACTTTGGAAGGAGTCGAATGGTTTTGCTTAAATTGGTATTCTCAATGACTATCTTAAAAGGCCTAAACTTATGAAAGGACAGCCCATGTTCATGGATAAGACGATATTATTAAGATGTCAGTATGACACAAAGTCATCCACGGATTTATTGCTGTCCCCATCAAAATTCCAGTGCCTTTTTCTTTTTTGCAGAAATGGAAAAGCCAATCCTCACATTCATTTGAATTCCAAGGGTGCCCAAATAGCCAAACAATCTTGGAAAAGAGGTACAGAGTTGAAGGATTCACATCTCCAATTTCAAAACTGACTGCAAACCTACAGTAATAAGAACAGTATGGTAGTGTCATAAGGGTAGACATATGAAGCAATGGAATAGAACTAAGAGTTCAGAAATAAACCTATCATCTACAGGCAACCGATTTTTGACAAGGATGCCAATCTTATGCAAAGAGGAAAGAATAATTCTTTCTATAATGGTCCTGGCACAACCAGATATCTTTGTGCAGAAGACTACAACGGGACCCCTATCTTACAGCACACACAAAAATCAACTCAAATGAATTAAAAACTTGAATATAAAATCAGAAACTATAAAAATTCTAGAATATTTTGCCTGTGGCAATTACTATGTTGATATTTTATGGTGATTTTCTATTACTGTCATTTTCTTTTATGATTTGAGAAAGTATCACATAACTGATAAGGAGCTAACATCCAAAATATATAAAGAACTTATATGACTCAATAGCAGAAAAACAAATAATCCAATTAAAAATGGGCAGAAGATCTGAAGAGACATCTTTCCCAAGAAGACATACAGGTGGACAACAGGTACATGAAAAAATACTCAACATCATTAACCATCAGGGAAGTGCAAATCAAAACAACACTGACATATTACCTCACATTTGTTAAAATGTCCATTACCAGAAAAACAAGGGGTAACAATTTTGGGGAAAGATATGGAGGAAAGGGGTTCTTTGTACACTGGTGGTGGGAATGGAAATTGGTGCAGCTAATGTGGAACACACAGAGACTCTTCAAAGAATTAAAGATGGAATTGCCATATGATCCAGCAATTCCATTGCTGGGTATGTAACTGAAGAAAACAAAAACAGTAACTTGAAAAGATGTATGCACCCCATGTTCATTGCAGCATTATTTACAACAGCCAAAATGTGGAAACAACCTAAGTGTCCATCAGTGGATAAACAGAGAAATTATAGTATATATAGTATTCCATTTCTCACATGTATGCCACTTAATAGCAGAAAGTAAGCTATCGAATTATATATAATAAAATATTATTCATCCATAAAAAGGAATGAAATCTATTCATTTGAAACAATATAGTTGGACCTCAAGGACATTATTCTAAGGGAAGTAAGTCAGATAGAGAAAGAGAAATATTATCTGTCTTATATGTGGATTCTACAAAACAAACAAACAAACAAAAAAAGCTCATAGACATAAAGAACAGATTGGTAGTTGCCAAAGGGTAAAAAAGGTAAAAAGAAAAATAATAGGGAGACGGGGAGGAGGGGGGCTGGGAAGGGAGAAATTGACAAAAGAAAACTGTACTTGAAAAATAATTAAATAAATTTTTTAAAATGTGGGAAAAAAAGAACTTATACTAATATCTTAAGATGTGATTAAAATTGAAAAATGTAAATAAAATGAATAGATCAATAAAAAATAAATAAATAAATAAAATCTCAAAAAATAATAGGATAAATAATAAAATAAAATGAGATCAGCTTTCTAAGCCAGGCAAAGGGAAAGGAAACAAAGAAGAAAAATGTTTAGTGTGCATATTTTGTATGATTTCCTGCCTTAATCGACTTTTTTCATTTATATGACCTGAGACTCATTCTGGATAAAAGGATTTATCCTGTACCTATCTCCAGAGAATACAGTGAAATACTAAGAATATAGTGAAATACTAAGAATACAGTGAAATACTAAAAGCCAGGGCAGATACTAGGCACATATAAGTCCTATTGCGAGCATATTAACAGTGAGACAGGCAATAGCAGCTCCAAGAGTGCCCTCAGAGAGCACACAATAAATGTTAGTTCTTAAAATTAGCAGGTATAATAGTAGTCTGATTCTGTCACAAATCAGTGGAATGTCTATCTAGTCACTAAAAGAAAAAGAGTGTCAATATCATGAAAGATAAAGAAAGACTGAGTGTATTAGTTTGCTGGGGTTGCCAATCAAGTACCGATAAACTGAGAGGCTTAAGCAAAAAAATGGATTGTCTCATAGTTCTGGAGCCGGGACGTCCCAGACCAAGATATCAGCATTTGTTCCGTGAGGGCTGCGAGGGAAGAACCTGTTCCAGGCATCTCTCCTCGGCTCGTGGACGGCCGTCTTCTCCTCATCTTCCTTCTGTTATGCATCTGTGTCCAAATCTGTCTCTGTGAGGACAAGAGTCATACTGAATTAGAGCCCACTCTCCTGACCTCATTTTAACTTGATTACCTCTATAAAGACCCTAACTACAAATTAGGTCACATTCTGAAATAGTGGGGGTTAGTACTTCAAAATATAAATTTTAGGGAGCACATGTTAACCCATAACACTGAAGAACAAGTTGAAGAGGCTTAAGGGGACATAACAAATTCAATGTGGGAGCCTGGATTGGTCCCTAAAACAGAAAAAAAAGGACATTGGTGCAATAACTGAAAAAAATCTGAGTAAGATCTGTAATTTAGCTTGTGCTGTTACACTAAAGTTAATTTTTTCATGTTAACCATTGTACCATGGGAATGAAGGACATTAGTACCGGGAGAAGCTGGCCAGGAGGGTGTGGGAGCTCTCTGTGCTGCCTTTGTGCTTACTCTGTGAGACTCATTTTTCAAAATAAAAGGTTTTAAATACCTGTTTGAGTTGATTTTATGAAGTAGCTGAAAATGAGGACTATCATATACCGACAACATCCAAGTGGGGAAAGATGAGTTAGTTGTATCTCAGTCCCTGAAAGCAAGTCACTTAGCTGTCTAGGTGTGTTGAAAACGAAAATGCCCTCTAGTTGAGGACAACAAGTAAAAACATCTTTTTTTTTTTTTTTTTTTGTCAAAGCAGGTAGTTTAAATGACAGTAGGCTAGAAAAATCTTATATATCTTGTAACCTTGCACTGTCCTCTCCAACTAATAAAAACCTATCTGTATAGCTCATGTGTTTGCTTCTCAGGTAAAAAGTTCAGATTGTGCCCTGGCTGTATAGCTCAATGGATTGAGCCTGGGCCTGTGAAGCAAAGGGTTGCTGGTTCAATTCCCAGTCAGGGCACATGCCTGGGTTGCAGGCCAGGTCCCCAGTGGGGGACACATGAGAGGCAACCACACATTGATGTTTCTCTCCCACTCTTTCTCCTTCCCTTTCCCCTCTAAAAATAAATAAGATTTTTTTTAAAGTTCAGATTGTGGTTAACGAAAGTGACCATTTCCTATATTGGATTGATGTTTTCAGAGTAAGATTGAAGACAGTATCTTATTCACCTTTGAATTATACACAGGAAGCATACAAGATATGTGTATTTATTTTCTTGACCTGTAATCCTAATTAAGGAAATCTGACTTTTTAGGTACCGACTGACAACCAGAGCACATTTGCTTATTTTATGTTTCTCCTCTCTTCCCTTTGCCTTCTCTGTGTTTTCTTCCCCATTTTTTAAGTTTAATTCCTCTGCAAGAAAAATTGTCTTTATTTCTCTTTACTCTTCCCTTATATATGTTTTTCTTTTACTCCTCTCTTACCTTAACTACTGCAAGTCCTTTGAAATTCCTGAGGCCTAACTGCCAAGACTGACAGAGTAACCCATATAGGCATTCGGGGTGTATCACGCAGAGAACCACATCTAAAGGGGAAAAACTTCTTTTTTCTTAAAGATTTTATTTATGATTTACTTTTAGAGATGGGGGAGGGAGAAAGAAAGAGAGGAGAGAAACATCAATGTGTGAGAGATACATCAATCTGTTGCCTCTCACATGCTCCCAACTGGGCACCTGGCCTGCAACCCAACCAACTGCCTGACTGGGAATCAAATTGGTGACTTTTCGGTTCATAGGTCAGCACTCAATCCACTGAGCCACACCAGCCAGGGTGGAGAATAATTTCTTTATAGACATAAGTAAATTTAGATAACAATTTGTAGGTGAAATCTCTAATTTCAGGCTTCCTAGCTGCCTTCTGGGATAGTGGGGAACAGCTCCCTCCCTTATAACCCTCACCTGCACTCATGGAGAATACTGTGAACCTTCTCACTCTAGCGATTGTCCACGCTCCCTCTTAATGCTGTTCTGAGCATGTCTTTATATCATCTGGCCACATAACAAACAACCGTGAGTCTGAGTGGTTTAAAAAACAAGTATGTGGCTTTGGCTCATGCATCTTTAGGCTGACTAGAATATGGTTGAACTAAGCTGAGACTGGCTGTGCTGGGCTCCCAGCTTCAGGTTGAGTTCAGGTTTGCTTCATATCTCTCTTCCTCCTTGGACCAACAATGATCCAGACTCTTTCTTCTTATGATCAAAGATAGGAACAAAAAGGGCAAGCCCGATTGTGAAAGCACATTTCAAACTTCTCACATCATGTCCACTAGCAACCCATTGGTCAAAGCAAGTCACTGGGCTAAGTTCAAGGTCTAAGGGCAGGGAATACACTCTATGCACCACAAGGTCATGTCAAGAATGTGAATAAAAATATAGAGGAGCAATAGAAACCAATAACTCAATCTAACAAACTCCTCAGGTTGGTTCTCTTGTATACCTGCTACTCTCAGAAGCCTGAGTCATGCTGAATTTGTTTCCTCACCTATATGGGGGGTGTTGGTGAGGATGGCTGGTAGCAAAGAATGCATTTGGCAGGCTTAGGTTCTGGAAATCCCCCTTAGGGAGAGTTATTCAGGTTGTACAATAACATACTACCTGAAATTTTATTTCATTTTTTAAATAAAAAAACAAAAAGGTATGCTTCATTCAAATTCATACCAAGGCATTGCATGGCCAAGGAAACAGTAGCCCATTGGGTAGGTATGTCCAATGCTCATCAGTTCTCACTCCAAGGTCCTTAAAGTCATGATGAAAGCTGGTTTGTCTTTGGTTTCCTCGTGGCACGTATTACAGTACCTGCTCAAATAGGTATTTTATAAATATAAAAGTGAGATTTTTTTGGAAGGCTAGATTTATTTTTTGTAACAAGGAGACCTGGGGGGGGGGGGAAGAGAAAAAAATGTACTTGAAAAGTAACTAAATAAAATTTAAAAAAAAAGAAAAAAAACAAGAAAAAAAAAAACAAGGAGACCTAAAATTTAAAGGTATTTCTTTGATTAATAGTTGTCATAGTTTCCATTAGCAGATGATACTCTTTTTTTAAAAAAATGTTTAAGAAAGTAGCAAATAAGTGCACGATCTTGCAAGTCCATTGACTCATTACCCTTAAAGCTGGCTGGTTGTGGGAGAAGCTGGAATCTAATTTTTAAACATTTTATTTCTTTATTTTTAGCGAGAAGAGAAGGGAGAGAGAAAGACAGGGACAGAAACCTCAAAGTGTGGTTGCCTCTCCTGTGGCCCTTACTGAGGACCTGGCCTACAACCCAGGCACGTGCCCTGACTGGGAATCCAATCAGTGACTTTTTGGTTTGCAGGCCAGGGCTCAATCCACTGAGCCACACCAGCCAGGGCAGAAGCTGGAAACTTTTACTCCTTAGGTAAGTGGAGCCAAGTCCTGCTAAAAGAGAACTGATGGACACATTGGCCACTTGTTTCCACAACCTTTGACAGCAGCTTATTCTCGATGTGAGAGCAGCTGTTTTTCCCTTTCAGGAGAGTCTGAGACAGGAAATTATGAATTAACAGAATTATTTCCCAGATACTGTAAGGGTTCTAAAGAAGACAAACTTTTTTATCATATGTAATATTTTTAATCGTTGAATTCCCTACCCAAAAATTCTATTCAAAGAACAAAGAATCACTAAGCATAAAGGGATTGCAGGGCTGGGGAGGAGGGAGTGGGGAGTTACTGTTTCATGGGAGCGGAGTTTCAGTTTTGCAGGATGGAAAGAGTCATGGAGATGGGTGGTGGAGGTGGTTGCACAACAATGTGAATGTGCTTAGTACCCCGAACGTGCACTTAAAAGTAGGTAAGATGGTAAATTTTACATGTATTTCACAATAATAAAAAAATGAAAAAAGTAACCGAAGGTTCAAGGCATGTACGGGAGGCAACCAATTGATATTTCTGTCTCACACCAATGTTTCCTCCCAGTTTCCCCCTTTCTCCCTAAAACCAATAAAAATAGTTTTAAAATAAAGAAAATAACTGAGAATGTTTAGGAAATGAACAATCCATTGTCTTTCAAATTTTTTCTTACCCTCAAACAAATAACCAAATAAATAAAAACCATAAGCTGTCCTGAAAATTAACAATGACAAGAATATTAAGCCACATAATAATACTTGTAAGTTTCCACCACTGCCGATATTGACAAGTTGTATTTATGTTTTGATGTCAAGAGAAAAAATAAATTGTGTAGACATCAATAATTTCAGAAATAAATCTTTTATTTCACCATGTTGATGGAAATTTGTTCCAGGTAAACTAACTTTTATTGATGGGTAGTCCTAATATCACGTTTTTGTATGTTGTTCTAATATAATCATTCCAGGCTGGAAAATTTACTGCAGACTACTTCTACTGAATTTCTCCTAACAATGGTGCTTTTCTATTTCATGGTTTGACTCCATTTTGCTTACTACTGACTTTAAATATTTTGCCTGAAAGACTGAAGATGCTGTGGAAAGATAGGTAACAAACTATTACAGAAGTACCAAGTATTATATACATGCAACAGTTATGGGGACTCATTCCATTCCTCTCCTAGAAATCCCTGATCCTGCAAGGCCCTCATTAATGGCAAAAGTTAATTATCTATACTTCCTGTCACAAAGCAATAACAGCGATAAGAACAGCTCTATCTTCGTCCAGTTTAAGAGCTACTTAGCAGAAAGTTACTTAGTGACTGTTGTTTAAACACATTACTTAGTGCATGTGAAAACATATCTTCCCACTGAATTTTACTCATACAAATGGTGAAAATTGTATGACTCTTTTGGATAAAGGAAAATATACATTAAAGCAGAGTATTTACCATTAGATCTGATTTTCAGCAAAAATAAATGTGGTCAGGCCTGTGTAGTCATTTATGTTTGTCTTGATTTGTTTACACCTCTAGGTGCAGGTCTAGGCTTGTGGTGGCATTGCTTCTAAATTCCCCAAGTGCAGAGAGTAGAAAACCCTATGGCCAGTGCTTTGACCGAAGTGTACTAACAAAGTCATGCTGAGAATCATTAACCTCTACTTCAAGCCAAAATACGTAGACTTTTGTCCACAGTGGGCAATTCCCAGAAGAGATACAGAATTAGGTGAGAGGTGATCTCTGTACTTAGGAGAAAATCTCTCTGAATGTTAATAGGGAGCTTAGCACTGTACCTATTGTTGTAATATTGCCCCACAATATGTATCTGCATAAAGAAAGCTTTGAAATGCAAATGTGATTTTGCAAGGCAACCTTTGCCTTCCTTGTATCTGTACATCTTATTGCATTACTTCTCTATGTAGGATGTGCATCTATTATCTAATTAATATTTATCGAATTACTAGTGATACAGGTAATTACTACCCTCATTTAGTGGCTCCATAACCTTCCTTCTATAAACCTGAAAATAAATGAAAGCACTAAACATATTCAGCATCTGTTTCTAATAGAGCCTAAAACAATTGCTCCATGTGCGTAACAGTAGAAGCTCTTCTCTCATCTTCCCACTCTTAAAGACACTTATAAAGTAAGATTCTGGAAAGTAGGACACTGTGACACTCACTGCTCCAGAAAAAAGTACTTGGTGTCCCTTGTGTTGATACTAATGGTCTGAAAAGCTGTTCACTCTTCAGACGGGAATGTGCATAACTGATTACAAGAAAACCATGCTCAGAAGTAGAAAAGAGAAAAATCAAAGTAACTGATATAATAAAGTCCCCCAAACTAGGAATAAGGAAAAAATAAAATCATATGAACCCCAATAAGTTTCTGAAACATATTAAGAGCTCTTGCGCCATACTCAAATTAAAATCAGTCAGGCTTAAATTAGGGGACAGTTTGGACCACAGTAAAGTGGACTGTGTGAAAGCCTTCTTCTGGGAGATCTGTGGAATTTCTTGCTAAACAAAGGTCACAAAGCCAGGTGCCCGAGCTTCCCCCTGGGGCTCCATCAGGCAGGGTCCTGGACGTAGTTGTACACTCTGTCCTTCCCTCCCCAGGGCTTTCGAGCTGAGGAAGGGGGACTCGCCTTCATCCTGCAAAATGTGTGAAATGAGAGCAGGTTACTCTGAGTGCTCCGGGGTCATTAAGTCTCCCCAAGCTTCACACTCTGGTTCATCAGTGCGCAGTAGAGAGTGACTTCTCTGAGGAAACAATCAACTTCAGTGATCCTGCCAGTATTGTTAAATCGTCAGTACTCACTACCTTTGGCCATTTGGATGAGGCTTTTCTCTTGGAGACTAATAACAATGAAAAAATTATTTCAGGCTAGCCAAATATGAGATTGCCTTATATATATTAATATATGCAGCCTTCTGTTTATGAAAGGGAAGCAGGACCTCAGGGCCTGAGTGACTACTGTACATTGTTTAAGAACATAAATTTACACAATTTAATCTTCTAGACTAACCTGCATGTACTAATAGCTGCCATTTATTGAATGCTTGCTATGTGCTAAGCAGTGGCCAGGGGCTTTATAAGGAACAGCAAATTGCAGAAGGTCCCCAAAAGATGGGAACTATTATTTTGAATTTACAGAGGCTCAAAAGAGTTAAGTAACTTGCCCTGTGCTTATTGAACCAGTAAGGACCAGATTTGAACACAGGTCTGCATGACCCCAGTAACCATGTACTTTCCACAGTTTTATGTTGCTTCCCAAGTCTAATTTGGGAACATCTATGCAAATGAGTGTAACAGAAAGATATTCATTGAAATAGTACTATGTGCCGTTATGTAGCTAAATAATTAATCTGTGCCTCTGTTTTTTAGTCTTTAAAATTAGGACAATAAAGATTCCTGCCTCACAGTGTTGTTGTATTGTGAGTAATAAATAGTTAATACATGAAAGATGCTTAGACTAGTACATAGAACATATAAGGAACATATAAGTGCTTTGGAATAACTCTAGGAACTGGGAATACATTACTGAACAAAAGAGACAGAAGTCCTTGCCTTCATAAAGCTTCATTCTAGAAAAAGAGAAAGAGCACATAAATAATCCAACAAATAAACATATGTTAGGATGTAATATCATACAGTATGTCAGAATGTAATAAGAACCATGGAGAAAAACAGAGCAAAACAGGAATATAAATAATTCTACTTGGGGGTACTATTTTAAATAGGGCAATTATGGAAGACCTCACTGAAGTAACACTTGAGCAAAGGTTTAAAGGGATGCAGCTGTACACCACACAGATACTTAATAAAAAATAATTCCAAGCAGAGGGAAAAGAAAATGCAAAGATCTAGTTTGCATCTTCCTTTTCTTCCTAGATCTTCCTTTTCAAAGAATCAGAAAAGTCTAAGGAACTAGAGTAGAGTGACCAGAGCAGGTAGTAGAAGATGAAGTCCTGGTGGGTGGGATAGAGCTGACTGTATAATGTCTTGTGGGTTATTGGTAGAACATTGGTTTTTGCTCTGAAACCACTAGATGGTTTTGACCAAAGTGTAACATGATTGGACTTGGGTTTCAGAAAGTACCCCTCTGGCAGCTACGATAAAAATAGACTGTAAAAAGGGTAGCAAAACAGACTAATAGGAAGCTAAGAGAGACCATTGAGACTGCAATAATTCAGAAAAGACATAATATTGGTAGTATTCAAAGAGAGAGTAGCAATGGAGATGGTGAGAAGGGGTCAGATTCTGCACATCTGACCCCTATTGGCTCCATTTAAAGATAGAGAGGAGTCAAGGATTGGCCTGAGCGGCTAAAAAGAGATACCATCAACTCAAATATACAGAACTCAGGTAGAAATTTTTTGTGTATCCTGTTATATCCTTCCAGCCTCCTCTTTTACTCTTAGGTGTTGTGATGAGCTCTGTACAGGCATCAGCTAGCTTCTCTCAAGAGCAATATGACATCACCTTGCCTCTCTCACTCCCTGACCACTGCATGGGGTACCTGCAGAAACAAGCCTTCCACATACATGTGCAACTAGAAGCATGTAGTGAAACTTTGACCAACGGTAGACAAGAGCTAATGAATAAATGCTTTTCTCCTTTTTTCTTCACTCTGGTACAGAATTGGGAGATAAATTTCATAAGGCTCCTCAAAAGGTATCAGAGGATCAGTCAACCAATGATCCATGGCTTGGGTCAACTGAACAATGCATCCTTGTATTGGCTTTTCCTTCTTTTCTCTTTCATTTCCCCTGAGCCCCTTATTCTATTCCCTGAACTCAAATTCTCAGATAAAGTACCTTTGTCTTGAACTCTGCTTTCAAGGGAACCCTGGTCACCAAACCTGGCTCTAGAGAGCAAACCCTCAGTATGGGATTTTGAAAGCTGAGCCTACAAACCAATCACAAGACAACAGGGAGACCCTGCTCGTTTTAAATGTTTGGTGGTAAGTTGCAAGTGGTGATTATCCCTGACATACATTAGCATCACAGTTATTCAATTGTAGCAGATTGGAATGAGGGGCAGACAGAATATGATTCACTGGATTGTACTGAGAATCATGGTAGCAATGATAATTATAAGGCTGACTTTTGTTAACTGCTTTGGGGATCTTAAGAAAATGATAGTCACAGTCAGCCAACAGTGAAATCATGGCACGTCGCGAAAGAACACTTCTATGGCAATGTAGTCACTGAGAAGACTGTGCTAAAAATCAGCCCCAATATATAATCATAAGGGCGGCAGAGATGCAAAGGAGTCTGAATGCACAGCCTAGAAACATCACTCATTGTCAAAGCCAGTGCCCTACAAGGAAAATGACAGGACCTTGAGATCTACAATATGGATATTTGTGTGGGCATGCCTTAGAGCTTAATCCCCCAGGTTTTAGTCATCCTCTGTGCCAACAGTCTCCTTTGTCTGGAAATGATGCAAAGAAAATATCTGAGGCAAGTGTCTCCTTATATGACTTTATTTTCCTCAATATCCAACCCCATTACTCTCACTGACTTAAGCCAGTAAGCAGCACAACCTGTGTGGGGGATTGCAATCCCTGCTCTAGAAAGAACTAGACCAGGGTTCCTCAATCTCAGCGCTACTGACATTTTGGGCAGGATAATTCCTTGTTGTGGAGGGTTCTCCTGTGTATTATAGTTTGTCTAGCAGCATTCCTGTCATCTACCCACATGCTCGTACAATAGAACCGTCCCAGGAACGAGAATCAAAAATGTCTCCAGAGATTACCAAGTGTCCCCTTGGGGTGAAAATCACCCCCAGGTGAGAAGCACTGAATGAGACTTAAAGGACTTTCAGAACTGGCTAACATGTACCTACAGGAACTAGGGGATTATGTGTGAGAGTGCATTTTTAGAATGTGAAAACAGAGGAATCAGGTTATAAGGCTGGACAGGGGTGAATTTACGACATGGGGCCGTTTACCTGTGACTTTTGGATTGAATGTTTTGGCAAGAACATCTGGAATCAGTCCTAATACACAGCCTTGGTAGCTCCCTAAAGCTTGGATATGATGATGGCCTGTGCTAAATGAGATGTTAGAACAATTCTGAATGAACATTGATAAAGAAATCAAAAGACTCTGGGAAGCAGGAATGTCAGAATGCATTTATTATGTGAGACTAAAGAGTCACCATTAGAATATGTTTCCCCAGATAAGCTACTGCACATTGCTTTGTTTCAGCCTCTACTTGGGGGGAGGGGAGGGGAAAGAGGAGAATTTAATTTTTGGATACATAAGTTTGAGATGCTTAACAGACATCCAAGTGGAAACGTTGGGGAGGCAGTGGATACTCAAATTGGAGTCCAGGTAAGAAGTCCAGGCTTCTGAAATGCCACTCACATCCCACCTTTGAAGAGGGATATAAACATGAACTTTTTTTTTTAAAAGGAGACAAAAGCACATGCAGTTGTGACACAGAGTTTTCACAGTGTTTTGAGATCAAGCAGGAAGGACCTAAGGGGTCTTTGTAAAAATAAGATTGAATATAGATTCTGCTCTTAAAAGGGAAGTTATTCAATGAAATTAAAAAGCATTCCAAGTAGCATTGACTGAACATATTGATAACAGTACCAAACATGTCCCTATTTCTAATTTTTCCAATAAATTATATCTTTAGATAAATGCTGAAAGACGCTTTACAAGCTCATTTGTCTCTACCTAGTGAATCCACCCCTGACAGAGTGAGTTATCAATACTTACAACCTCTTTTGCATTCCCATGGAACTTAGTCTATTTTTTCTTCTACCTCGGTCGTTGGGTTTACCTCACCAGACTGTAATTTATCGACCTATTTAATTCTGTCTCTCTGATGAGAGTGTGCCCTCTTCTGAGTGGAATCTCTGTCTTTGTAGCTGCAGCACTTAACACAGTGCTTGGCACAGAAGTGGCACGGTTTGTCATGAATGGATCCCTGCAGAACCCTTGCAAAGGATTGCTTTGTGCAGGAGCGAAGAAATCGCTCCTTTTAATTCTCAGCCCACTTCTGTCCTGTGCGTAATTTTGGTCACTTACTTTGTTTTATTTTATATGTATCCGTGTGTATCTTGTTTAGCCCTACCATCTGTGAACTTCTTCAGGGTAGGATTCATGCCTGAATCACCTCTGCACCTCCCTCGGCATAAAACAGTTGCCGAGAATATAGAGTGAAAGCATCAAGTGCCTTGCAACCAGCAACATCGGTATCATCTGTGCTTCTCAAACTTAACTGTGCATAGGCGTCATTTCGTTAATACTTAATCGGATCTCTTCTTAAATAAGTTGCTTAAAATATCTGAATAAATAACTCCTGTAGAAAAAGTAATATCATACCGCACCAAATCCTCAGGTCCAAGGTCAGTCTCTGAGCCAAGGAAGTCCCGCCTCTGCCTGTCCTCGACACGCCCCTCCGGCAAGACATGGCCCCGCCTCTTCACGCTCATCACCGCCCCCTCTTTCTCTACCGGTTCGACTTCCGGCGTGGCTGTTTGTCACGTGCCCGGATATGGGAAGTCGTGGCTGAACGGCCGCTTCCCGTTCGCTGCTGTATTGTGGGCTGCTTCTTACTAGTGTTGGCACTCCCGCCCCGTCGCGTCTAGGTTTTGGAGACCTGCCTCGGCACAGCCGGGCTCGGTCCGGCCTTGCGGTAAGCCTTGGACTGCGGCTGCCCAGTAGCCCCGGCGGAGGCGGACAGTCCAGCGGACAGGCGGGCTCCAAGGTCTAAGGCCGACTCTTCAGCCCGGTGCTGGCTCGGAGCCCGGGTCCGGTACCTCTCGCTCCAGTCAGGCTTCCCTTCCTTTCCCCGCCCCTGGGTAAGGCGCAGAGTCCGTTCTGAGCACCCCCAGCTTCTTGCTGCGCTGGGGGCACGGAGAAAGCAATCCTCACACTTCTCTTAAGGGATCCGCCCATAGGAACCATATTTCATTTGGACAAACTACCCTGATCGTTAGCCCTCAGGACTGGAGGGAGTGACAATGCCTTCCCCTTTTTGTCCAATTACATCCCCCCCAATCTCTTAAGTACTTTTTCCTGGGTCCGAGCATATTTTTCTCCCCCGAAAGACAGTGCTCCTGGCGCTGAGATGTCTCCATAGCGCACGGGGCCCAATCCACGCGGACACTCACATTAACAAGCCGTTTGTCATGCATTGTAATGGTCCGGCTAGATTTAAGGAAACAAGAACCAACAGAGAGTAAGCAGTGTCTGACTGCCTCTGGAAGGCGGTCACACATGGATTCTTAAATCTGGAAAATAGCTTTAGGATCTCTAGTGATGTATTATTCACTGTCTTAACAGAAAAGGGCCTTGTAAAGACTGATCACTTGACCCTTGTAATGTAAATGCCATGGAGACCCTGGTGGTCTCTTCTTGAACGCATCTGTCATTGTCACCGCTACAGCGCCTCGAATTTAGTAGACATCAGTATTGAATGAGGGTCACAGAGTACCTTTCATGATGTCTAACTCCTTTATGAGGTATGGCCAGTCCTCTCTTTTTACCACTTACCATATACTCACTTACTGCTTTTAATCAAAGAGGAACTGTGATGTGAGCATTGGCCACTAATAATCATTCATCTGACCTGTAGCCTCTTCAGGCTACCTCAAGAGATATTTTTTGAGTACCTACTAAGAAAACACAATATCACACCAAAACGTGCCTTTCTCCCTGCTCCTCTCTCTGTCTCTTCCAAGAGATCCCCAAGCTTACCATCTCAGGAAGCAATCTGCAGCGAGTGCTTGATTGGTTAATAAATACAGTTAAGTGCTATAGCAGTTGAGAGATCAATTTGAATTAATATCCTTATTGAATTGACTTTATGTAAACTATGAAGTATAATCAGGGTTTGGATAGATGATATTCCCTGCATGGAAAAGCACCTAAGCAAAGATTCGAAGTCTAGAATGAACAACAGGGCTTGGAGTGGAAGGTTTGTATGTGGGAGCCGTAGTAAAATGTTGAACAAGGGTATGTTGTGATGAAAGCTGTGTTTTAATATGACTTGTTTGTTGAGGGTTTTGGGGGTGTGGAAACTTGCAAAAAGATAATCAGATACTGTACTGTTACATAAATATTGTTGGTATGAACCTGGTTTAGTGTGTTGATGGTGGGAACAAAACGGAAGGATAAATTATATGTAGACGAGGGGAAATCAACAGAGTGTGGTAGCAGATTTCATGTTGACAATAGAAGAGGAGAATCAAATATGACATTTTGAACCAAGTGTGAGAGTTGGAAAGGGGGAACTAAGCTTAGGGAAGTAGTTGTGCTATCATTTTGGTTAATTTATTAGATGCCTACTATGTCCTCACCAAGTTCTGTAATACAACGATGAGAGAGACACCATTCTTGTCTATCAGGAGCTACTTTCGGTGGGGCAGAGATTACAACTAGCTAGAAAATAGGTTTTAAAGTGCTGTGTTAGCAGAGTAGAGAGGAAGTATTAGAGATAGAAAGGGATTACTCTTTATGTGTGACTACTTCACAGATTTTGAGGGATAAGTTGGACTTTCCCAGAGAGACAAGCATTCCAGAAAAACGGAAATTGCATTAACAAACACAGAGATAGAAAAGTAAGCTGGCCAGTATCCCATGTGGCTTGGGGATAGGGTGGAGTAGAGCTTTTAATACAGTGTGTAGGCCCTAGAACATATTAAAGAATTGGTCACAAGGACATGCAGTAATAGGCGTAATGGAGGTTCAGATGTACAGAAATGGAAAAGAAAGCAGTTGGTGAAAGTTGTACTTCATGGCTTCTATATCCTCTGTAGAGTAGATGGAGGAGTCATTTGCTGAGAGGGAGGAGGCTGGCACTGGGGCTGGGAGTTGGAGAAGAGAAATAAGGATTTACAACCACACTGATGCGGAATAGGAAGAGGCATCATCAGAGGAAGTGTTAAAGATTGCTGAACAACATTGAAAGTCTAGATGTTTGTAAGTGGCACGTAGTAGCCCAAGAGAAGTGGACCAAAAACCACAGTTTATGGAGATTTATAAACAGGGCGAACTGGCCTGCAGAGTAAGATAATCGAAGGGGTAGTGTGGGTGTAGAGAAATGAACACTGCTTCCAGGCCAGGGTGGAAAAGAAGCTCAGAGAGGTCAGATGGACAAAGAAAACAGAAAACAGGGAGGTCAGAAGACTGGAGGCTGAGATGAGGTGAAAGGGGCAAATCTGATTTTTGTGAGAAAAGCAATTTTTTGAGTTGGAGCAAAGATACAATTTTCACAGATTGAGTAAAATAGAGGAGACACCTAGTTTACAAAAGTGTCTCTTAACAAAAATTTTGTATTGCAGAAATTCATTCTAAGTCATTTATTTAAAACTCATAATTCATTCATCTTTTCCATAGAAATGGTGTTAGAAGTTAATTTCCTAAGCAAGCTCATATATATGAAATACATTTGCATTGGAAAATAGTAATATATATAACACTATATATATTCAAAAAATAAAATTGAGATTTTAAAAATATTTAACTTAAGCTGATATTTTAGAAAGATGTTGAATTATATGCAAAAAAAGGAGATAAGTGGAAACCTATTTCTTATAACGGCCCTATTGAGATAGAATTTATATACCATAAAATTCACCCTTTTCCAGTGTATAATTCAGTGTTTTTAGTATATGCCACTACTATCTAATTCAAGGATGCTTTCATCACACAAAAAAGAAACCCATACCCATTAGCAGTCACTCCCCATTCCTCAGTGATCTAGCCCCTGGCAACCACAAATCATTCCGTCTATGGATTTGTCCACTTCACATTTTATATAAGTGGAATCATAAAGTATGTGGCCCTTTGTACCTGGCTTCCTTCACTTAGTATGTTTTTAGGATTTATCAACATTTTAGCATCTACATTGTATCATCACTACATTGATCCTTTTTATAGCTGAATAATATTACACTGTATGGATAATATATCAGTTTGTTATATCATCAGTTAATGGATATTAGAGTTGTTTCCACTTTTTGACTATTGTGATGCTGCTGTGACCATGTGCAAGTTTTTGTGTGGACATAAGTTTTCAGTTCTCTTGAGTATAAACCTAGGAGTGGAATTGCTGGATCATATGTTAACTCCATATTCAACTTTTTGAGAAATTGCTAAACTATTTTCCAAAGTGGTTAACCATTTTAAAACCACAGTATGAAAGTTCCTTTTTCTCCACATCTTTACCAACAATTGTCTTTAGTTTTAGCCATCCTAGTGGGTGTAAAGTATCTCATTGTGGGTTTGGTTTGCATTTCTGTAATGTTAGTGAGGTAGAGCATCATTCCCGTGGTTAAAATCCTTTGCTCTGCCCTGGCTGGTGTGTCTCAGTGGATTGAGTGCCAGCCTGTGAACCCAGCCAGCTGGATCACTGATTCGATTCCTAGTCAGGGCACATGCCTGGGTTGTGGGCCAGATCTCCAGTAGGAGGTGCACAAGAGGCAACCACACATTGATGTTTCTCTCCCTCTCTCCCTACCTTCCCATCTCTCTAAAAATAAATAAAATCTAGGGGCAGCGTGGGGAAAAAAATCTAAAAAAAAATTTTTTAAATCATTTGCTCAGTCTTTAATTGCGTTATTTGTCCTTTTCTTGTTAAGTTGTAATTGAGTGGTAAAAGCTCTTTATATAGAAAATGTATATTTAGGCCCTGGCTGGTGTAGCTCAGTGGATTGAGCTCGGGCTTGCAAACCAGACCATTGCGGTTCGATTCCCAGTCAGGGCACATTCCTGGGTTGTAGGCCGGTTCCCCGCAGGCCGGTTCCCCCGCAGGCCAGTTCCCAGCAGGGGACTCACAAAAGGCAACCATACATTGATGTTTCTCTCCCTCTCTCCTTCCCTTCCCCTCTAAAGATAAATAAATAAAATCTGTAAAAAAAAATGTATATTTAAACATTGAGCATGGGTTTTGAATTTTTCTTAAATCTTTTTTTGTATTGTAATATTTGATGAGCACTCCAAAGATTTTAGTTTGACGACACCACCAGCTCTCTAGTTTCTTTTCCAAATATACTGCTATTTATATTATTGATGTAAGTGTATTAATGCATGAAATCATTTTTCCTGGGATTATTAGCCATGAATAAGGTAATCTTTAATCATAAGTGGAAACATGTAAGAGAATAATTTTGAGAATGAGTTTAATATCTACAGTCCCAATCTTTTCAGCTGAGTGAAGATGACAGCAATCAAACATGCATTACAGAGAGACATTTTTACACCAAATGATGAGCGCCTGCTGAGTATTGTCAATGTCTGCAAAGCAGGAAAAAAGAAAAAGAATTGTTTTTTATGTGCCACAGGTGGGTATTTACTAAGAAAAAGTTCTTGTTTGGCATTATTTTATTCCTTAATGAACTTTTCCTCCTTGTTTTAAAACATATAATTGGAAAAACTGTTGGGCCAGCAAATACATTTTTTAATTGTTTTATATTAAATGTTGAATAGATATAAAAGAATTTCTATCTCACATATAAGGCATAATTGGGTTTTAATGTACTGTTAATATTTT